AATGCATCTTAAATAAAAGTAACACTTATAACATGTGACATGTTTCTTACACTAAGAACTAAGGCTATTTTCTAGTGAGCAAATCATGCAAATAATTTAGATAATGCATATTTATGCAAATTTTCATAGATTTATCTTTTCAAATAACTCAATTAAAAATGTATAACATTTTAACAAAATAAAATGTAAAAATTGTAAGTATCAATCATGCAAAAGATTGAAAACATGGCTTTTTGGTGTTATTAATACATGAACTATTTTATAAACATTAAAAGTGAAATCAAGTAAATATACAAAGAAATCAATTTTAATTTAAAAGTAGACATATTTTGCTTGTAGTTATCTAAATATTATCATTAAAAATGAAAAATTAATAATCAAATAAACGGGCATGAGAAGGAGAATGAGTTAAATTAGTAAGTTTTTAGTACTTAGTGTAAAGGTTTAGAGGAAGCAATAGTTTCTAATATAAAAGGCACAAAATAAAATCTTCTATCACCTAAACCTAAATCAACAAACCTAAGAAAAAAAAAACAATAAAAATTTGCATCATTTAACTTAATAAAAAAAAAGGAAAAAAGAATTTATTTATTAGAAAAAATGAAAAGAAAGTGAAGTAGTAAAAAAGAGATTCTACTTATTTGTTCTCCTCTGTTCTCTGCCTATTTGGTCTCACATATACCTTTTGCTTCTTACTTTATTTTTTTTCTTGTTCTACAAAAAAATACTAGTAAAATTTTTTTTAAAATAATCCTAATTCAAGCTCATTTTCATATATATATATATATATATATATATATGAGAAAAATCATATATAAATATCAAAATATTAGCCTAAAACATATAAGAAATAAAAGAAAAATAGAAAATGAAATAGAGTCTATGAACAAAAAGATAATTGACAAACTTGAAGAATGAGAAACAGCTTTATGTTTATTGAAAGCAAAGGTAGGAAATTGATAAAAGAAAGGCCAAACAATATTTTTAAAAGAAAATAGAAGATCAAAGTAGTAATTAGGTGGGATTGATCATTGTATATCAAAGGAGATAAAAAATTTTAAAGGGCCAATGGCCCCTACCTACCTCCTCCGACTCTGACCCTAATGCCTATGTTTTTTTTTTTTCAATAACCACCTCTTACGCAAATAAATCAAGTCCTATCTTTATCTATGTAATCTATTAAGGCAATAATGATAAATTTCTTCATAAGTCACAAAAACCTAATCTAGTAATTTAATAATCTTTAAATATTTTCATCAAATCAAAAGAAATAATATGGACTAAAAAAATATAGTTAAATAATAATTTAAATAAATAAAACCACACCTTTTCAACTTCTTTTCTCTCTCTTTCATTGTTAGAATGCCTTTATTATTCTATCAATAGTTTTTTCAAATTCTATCTCACACTCTCTTCCTCTCTTTTTAGTTGTGAGCTTTTTTTCTTTATCTAAAGTCATACTCTCCTCTTTTATGCTTTCATGATTTTCACTCTTTCAATTTTTTTTTAATTTTCCCTCTAATTTTCTCTTTTTTTTTTCTCTTTTCCATCCATTTTCTACATATTTTCTACATCTAGATCAATCAACCTCCACTCCCTTTTTTTTTTCATGATTTTCTTCCTTTTTCCTTTTTTATTCATAACTACATTTCCTTAAAAAATAAGAGATTGAGAATTAAATTTATTTTAGAAATAAAAATAACCAATTAGGAAAATATAAAAAGAAGTGCTTACCTTTATTTCCTTTTACATTTAAAATATTCAATGAAGTAAATGAAACAAAAAATAAACCTAAAAATTTGAAAATAAAAGAATCATGATGAATTTTATACACAATCACATGAACTTGATAAATAAAAGAAAATTTAAAATATATATATTTAAACAACATATAGTGATCTATTTTCACTACCTTTAATAATCATTTTGTGCTTTTATTTAACAAAGACAAATTCTTTACCTACAATCAAACTAAAAAATTAAAGAAAAAAGAAGCAATCAGTATGAAATTAATGCAAAACATTTAAGGGAAAAATCAATCACTTGAAAAAAAGATAAAATTGATTTAAAAATGAAAATTAAAAAACTTATCTCTATACAACTTCCCATCTCTTCTTTTGTTCTGCTATTTCCCTGGCTCATGGCTTTATTTTTTCTGAAACTTTGCATATTTTAATTTTTTGGGCTCTCAATCACTCTTATATTTTTTCTTCCCATTTCTTCTTTTTCCTATTCTCAATCTTTTTATATTTGTACATTTTCAAAGTTTCTCAATTTCAATTGTTTTGTCCTTTTGCTCTTTCTCTTTTTTTTTTACATTTCAACTTTTGTGAGTCCCAATCTTCTTTATATTAAGTAAATACACTCTCAATCCTAATATTTCAAGCATCCTCTTTTTCTTTTTTGTAGTTTCTAAATGTACTCCTATTTTTGCTATTCATACTTTTTTAAAAATTTATTTTTAAGTAAAATTACTTAATTATTATTTTTAAAAGTGGATTTTTAAAAATTATATAACTTATTAGATATGAATATTCAAAAATTTAGATATAAAACTTTAAGAAAATTACAAAAAAGAAAAATTTATTAAAAATTTTTATTAGGTGTAATGAAAAAAATTATTATTGAAAAAAATCATAAAATTTAAAATTAATTAAAAAAGTTAATTTTGTTATTTTTACCTTAGAGAAAAAATAAAATTTTATTAGATCCTAAATAAGCTAAGGATAAAATAGTAAATATAATTTTTTTATAAATTTAAAATTTATTACTTTTTTATAATTTATTTTCTGGATATCGATTATTAAAGCTTTATAATAGTTTTAACTAAATTGAACTCTTTGGAGAAATCCTTCTGTCTACTTGTCATGATGAATTTCTCAAGTTAACATTTAGGTTTTGACAAAATTATGTATTATTTAGTAGTATTACTTATACAATTTCAATGAATTTTAACTCTCAGATATTAATTAGACATGATATTTTTTTCATTATCTCTTATTACTTTTTTATAATTTATTTTCTGGATATCGATTATTAAAGCTTTATAATAGTTTTAACTAAATTGAACTCTTTGGAGAAATCCTTCTATCTACTTGTCATGATGAATTTCTCAAGTTAACATTTAGGTTTTGACAAAATTAAGTATTATTTAGTAGTATTACTTATACAATTTCAATGAATTTTAACTCTCAGATATTAATTAGACATGATTTTTTTTCATTATCTCTCGTAACATTAAGAGATGAAATATTTAATTAAGGCCTCATAAAATTTTATTTTTTCTCTAATGTTAAAATAATAAAATTAACTTCTTTTTTTTATTAAGTTTAAAATCTATGATTTTTTTAATAATAATAATTTTTCATTACATCAATTAATAAAAATCTTTAATAAAATCACTTTTTTGTAATTTTCTTTAAAAAAGTTTATGACCTTTTTTTACTCACAAAAACGAATTTTCCAAAATTTTTGTAACTTTATGAAAATTCATATCCAGTAAGTTTTAAAACTTATCAGATATAAATATAAAAAAACTTGTGAAAAAAATAATTAAATAATTTTACTTTAAAAATATTTTTAAAAAATGGGGTGTAAAGAACAAAAATTGGGATGCATTTAGTAGCTTGCTTTTTATTGTTACCTTCCTTTATTACCCTAAACATTTGATAAAATACCATTCATGTATTTCTTTTTCTTACAAGTGTCACAAAGATAAATGTCTACAGGTTGACAAACTTGCACGACAGTTATGTTAGTTGAAATGTGTTGATTGTATGAAGATTCAAATTTCAATTTTAATCGAATTAATCGAATTAATCAACTGAATTAATTTAATTTAATTAATCGATCAACATCAAATTAAATTAATTTGATTTTTGAAAATAATTTAAGAGAAAATTCAATTTTTGATTAATTTGATTCGAAAACCGAATTGACCAAATAATTAACCAAAATTTTGGTATATTATTGAGGTAAAAAATATGTTTCTAAGCTCCACCATGAATTTTGTAATATCTTACATCAAACTAAACTTGAATTTTGTACCACTTTACAGTCCCAAGTGATGAAGATATATCCAGAAAAGATTGTTGCTATTTTCTTTTACAACTTCTCTATGACCCTTATATCTCTACCAGTATGCTTACTAGCAGAGCTAAACTTGAGCTCTTGGAGACTAAGTCTAACACCTGGTATAGCAGCTGTTGGAGACGATCAGTATACTCAATTGATTACTCTTTTTTGTATAATCTGTAAATACACAGATCAAGTAGACAGATCAAGTAATAAAATAAAAATATTTGAATATCCTCTTCCAAGAGATTATAAATTGTAATTGTTGTGTAACTCTCAATTACCAAAATTGAAATCCTAAGCTCTTATATCTAAACAAATAAAAATTCAGGATTGACTGCAAAATAAAGAAAACAAAATATTAATGTAAACTTTGATCTTGACTCCACCAACTGTCAATTAAAAGGTAAAAGAGAGTAACCACAAACTAGATCTAAAAAAAAAAAATTAATCACAAACTTGAAAACAAAAAGAGAGTGAGCTTGCCTAATGCTTGGAGTAGAAAAGAATGATTGCATAAGACTTAAACTTGTAGAACATCAAAGAACAGTAGCCAGAGCTTGTATTGTAGTAGAGTAGGAATGCTTGAATCAAACTTGTAAAATAAAAGAGTACTTGCCGAAAGTAAGAAAGTAAAGAACAAGATTTGAAATCAAAAGTAATGAAAACGAGATCTTGAAAAATACTTCTTGAATTAAAGAAAAAAATTTAAAAAACAAAACTTTTGTTATTGACAAATCTGTCAGAACAAAACTTTTGTTATTGGCAAATCTGTCACCTAAGCCAATAACTAAACTAAAAACTATAGACAATTATCATTATGTTCTTCATGCTGTGTTAGAAGCAATGGCATTGGCAGGAAATCACATGATCCATATGCAGTGGTACCATGGCAATGCAGGCATGTCCTAATAAAAATTTCAATATTTCAGTAACCAATCACTGATTTAGACACTAGATTTAGAATCGTCACAACAGGTACATATTACTCACACATCTCATACATAAACAATAAAATATCTACATGGAGTTAAAAGTTCACTACTTAACTCTGCTTCCAAGGAATAAAACACCTAAACATAAACTGAAAAGGTTAGCATTCCTAGAAGCTGGAGAAACTAGATAAAAACTGGGGACAAAAAGAAAGATATGATAGCTTGATATTTAACTGTAAAAATAATAAAACAAGAAGATATGGTTGGATCCCTTGTTTCTTTTAGCTTTTCTGAAACTTTTCCACATATGCCTGCAATGGAATCAAAAAATTGTAAGGAGGTCAGCATATTGTGCATAAAATGAAACAGTCTACGTTAAAGAAATAATTAAATTATGGAAAGGAATTGTCAATCAATTTCAACCATGGACATGACAACAACATCTTTCTATGAGTTGTAAAGTGACCAAGAGCACATTGAGAGCCCTAGCAATTAGCATGTTATTGGGTGATAACATAAAACGTACAAATGATGATGGTACAAATGAAGGCCACAAATAAAATGCTGAGCAAAACGGGAAAGGGCAACAAAAGAAAGGTCTAACACTCTTTTTCTTTTCCCCTCCAAAATTCTAAACCATTAAATTTAATAGTAAGCTGCACTCACCTGTACAAGTTTGCCAAGCTTTGGTTTTGAAAACGACAGATATTGATCAATCTTTTCAGGTGTTTGAGGAATATTAGTCCCTTGCATTGTAGCAGTAACTTTGTCAACAACTTTCTTCACAATGTTTTTGTAAGCCTCTTTGCCAATTTGGCCTTCCTTCCAAGATGGTTTAAGGAGATCCTTGACAAACTCAACGAGTGCAAATTTAAATGCACGAATTCCCTTACCATCCTTGCTCTTCTTGCCCTCATCAGTCCTGTCATCTGCATCTATTTTCTCTGACAGACCATTCTTATTCTCCTCTTCAGCTTTCTCGGTTTCCTCAACTCCTCCATTTTCCTTTGTCACCTCAGAACTTGCAGCAGGCTCCAGCTGATTTGGCTTATGGCTATCAAAACCAGGCTCACTTTTGGAACTTTGATCGTTATGGTAATCACCATCATTTGTGCCACCCACAAGAGATGATGGTAACAACCTATTAGCTGACAGTTCCGGTTTGCCATCTGCAGTATTTTTCTGAGAAACAGGATGTAGTGAAAACCCCAAAGGCTTAGTATTTGTATCTTGCTTCTTAGCAGGCTCAATGCTATCAGATATAGGGTCATATTGCTTCGGGAATGTAATGTCTTGACCTGGCTGTACAGTTGGCACAGAATCTGGCTCAACAGGTCCTCCACAGTTCGAAAAAGAAGTCACTTGCCCCTTTCCAAATAATTGAGCTAGAGAGGCTGAAAGATTGGTAAGTTGGGTGAGCTGTTCATTGCTTACCATGTTCTGAGTTGTCTGGGATCCAGAATTACCATGTAATATATTTGTATCCAGAATATTTAGTTTGTTGCTTGGTTTCTCCTCTTGAAACAGCAGGCTATTTTGTGTAGCTTTCATATTTACTTCATTAGAAGGGATTGCCACTTGACTTTGTCCAACTGCATTCAAGTTTGAATAAGGTAAAGAACTTGAACTTGGCCCAGGCTGGTCAAAGCTTGTCATTGGCAGTACGTTGGTAGAAAAATTTACATCAATGAGTGAAATGGAAGCATTTCTGCTAACCGCATTGCTGTCACATGGCAATGCTACAGCACTGCTGGCCCTCATCATGTGGTCCTGTTGAAAGTTAGATTTCTCAGTTGAAATTGGCTGCAACGCTGCCAGCCCATTGCATGCCTGACCTGAGGCCTCTTCAGTTACGTTCTTTTCATTAGTTGGTAAAGATGTGTCCACAGCAGTGGATTTTGAACTATAAGAATGTTCCTTTTTAACAGATGAATGGATCCCGTAATTCCACTCAGGGGACATTTCCATATCACCAAGCAACTCTTCAGAATCTTTTGGTTCAGAGACACCCATATTAACACCAGAATTTTGTATCCTCCTCGGAATTCCTTCATCCTTGTCAATATCAACTGTTTTATAATGCACATTAGTCTCACTGTTCTTTCCACTGACATCATTGTCATGCTGCCATCTCTCATCCATAGACCAACCAGAGAATCTTGATCCAGAGGCAGCCATTTTTCCATTTGTGTCCTTGCTCAACTTTGTATCCCCCGAGTAGGCACCTCTATCATTCCATTTTGAACCAGTCCAAGAGTTGTCCACATCATCTGAAGCATCAACATCACTCCATTTTGGACTAGCCAAGGGTTTCTCAGCTTCATTTGATGCATTATCGTCACCCCGTTTTGGAGCATTCCAAGATTTCTCAACACTGAATGAAGCATCTGCACCTCTCAGTTTTGCACCATCCTGCAACTTATCCACACTAACAGAACCTTGACCCCATACACCCCTATCACCAAGTGACCTTTCAGGACCCGCACGTGCCTGACCATGATGAGAAAACCTACAATATTTTCCATCACGACAATTTCCAGCAACAAAGTATTTGCAAGGAATATCACTGCTTCTTTGAGCTTCACGCTCACCATCTTGCTCTGGAGTTTTAACTCTGTTCCTCTTGTTGTTTTCCCTTTCCCTACTTACCGATCCTCTACTGAAGCCATCAGAAGCACCATCATGAGCAAACCTACATGATGCACCTCTGCGACAGTTACCTTTAAGATAATTAGTACAGAAATCAGTAGATCTTCCACTCCTAGTAAGGTAATCTTTAGAATCATTGCGAGGAATATAGTTCGAAGCGCCAACTCTCCTTTGTCTATTATCCCAACCATCCTCACGACTTTGAATATCTTGGTGAAGAAAGTGACATTGACTGCCTCTCCTGCATCTCCCAGCCATAAAATCTTTACATAATTGAGTTGACACTCCTGATCTGTTTCTGGTTCTCTCCGAGAATCCCGATTGCCGCCTGATGCCACGAACTGGACTTCGGCTCCTGCTTCTACTACGACTTCGGCTCCAGCTCCTACTCCTACTCCTACTCCTGCTCCTCTGGGTAAAACTAAGATTAGGAAACAAATTAAAAAACAATAGTAGAGAGATAAGAAAACAGAACCCTTCATCCAGGCAAATAAGCATAAACCATAATACTACGAGAGTCCAAAAGCATTGTGTTTAACAAATTAAGCTAAGATGTAGCCTCAGTGACAATATAAAATTTTAAGTAAACCAACAAGAGAGAAAATCACAAACTAATTGGGGAAAACCTTTAATATATTTAGTGTAGAGAAACATTTTCAACATAAATGAAAATGTAAAAAAAGAAAGGGTTAATGTCACGAATGGCCCTGGAACTATAGTGAAATGTTCAATGTGATACCTAAACTTTCAAAATATCTAATGTGGTACCTGAACTACGAATATATTAATTAATGCGGTACCCACCCCTAACATCTTTAGCTCCAAATGATGATACATGGCAGACAAACAGCCCTCCAAATACCAAATTAGTTAACGAATTAATAGTTCACGTAACATATTAGAAACTTTTAAAATTCATGTACCACATTGAACATTTCACTGTAGTTCAGGGGTCATTCATGACATTATCCTAAAAAGAAACAATAAGTTACGTGATTCTCAATTTCTTAGCAACATCAAAGAATTAGTACATAATATATATGGCATGGCACCATATTAATGGTGACATGTTATACCAACGCTATACTAACAACCAGAACACCATAAAAAAGAAGATAATAACAATCAAGGATACATAGAATAGACAATCAAACCTGCGAGATCTGCTCCAATCACTTTTAGGAGAATGGTGATGATTTTGTTGCCTCCAATCATCTAGACCAGGTGACATTTTCATGCTATAAGTCTCATCCCCGTCCAATTGGGCTGTAGTTTTCCAATTTTTTACACAGTCAACATTGATTTTATCATCGTTTTCTCCACCTCTGCTTCCATGTAAAGATTCCCTTGAAGGCAGTCCACGCTTAGATTTCATCGCGTCACTGGCTCCAGCAACAGACCACTTGTTGCCATTCCTACCAACCTCCAGAGAGAAAGATCCATGTTCTGATTCTCTATCATGAAAAGACACACCGGCTTTCGCAGGGCAAGCACTGTCTCGTACATTTTCAAGAGAATGTTGGCTTTCCTCTTTTGAATCCCACTTAGAACTGCGTTTTCTGCTTCTGCTCATTTCACCAGCAGCACGTATTCTTATCTATGCAAAACGATCTGGAAGTATGGAATTAAGACATTAATAAACTGCCACCCTCCATCTGTCTCATGGCCTACCATTGATTTAATTCAGAATCTAATTCACATGCCAGTCCATCTCATGTCCTCTGCTATGTGATTTAATTCTCATAGGGCAAAAATCTAATTCCACTAAACAGAAGTCAAATTTCCAAAAACAAAAATGAGAACAAGGACAACATGAAGGCAATAAATATATCTCATATTGAAAAGCCAACGTGCTGATATAATTAGATTCTTCTTACTATAATATTTGAAATTAGATTCTTCTTTATTTTGCTGTTTGGTTTCAAACAGGCTGTATTGCCTATGGAAACAGCTATTCAAGAATAGAATAAAAGATATTTTTCATATGGTGGGCAATAATGTGAAGAAAGCTAATAACCATTTCTTCTATTCTCATATTTCCATTTCATTCAATCTTCCTTGGGTTTTTAGCAACTGACACAATTTTACAAAAGCTCTCCTATCCACACTCTGTCTATCACTCTCAAAGACCATTTATGTAAGTTAATTGACCTAATATTATGCCTATAAATTGTTTCATGAGAATAAGATATTCTACCTCTTTCTAAGTTTCCTACCAACTATTGTCACAGCAACAAACAACAGCAATTAAAACATACTCTCCACTTTTGGCAAAAAAAAAAAAAAACACTATCCATTATCACCAGTTGCAAAATAAGCACTATAAACAATTGCATCTTCTTTCTTATTGCTAAACGAGCTGTAATTATTTAAAACAAATATTTTAGTACGGTAACATATGTCAGTCTCATAGCAGTAAATAAGCCAAGAACTCAATTTCTGATAATGAAACATTAAAGAAAGCATAAAACAGAGACTACACAAGAATTAAACACATATTAGAACATAATATACTAATGAACATTTACCAAATTCTACAGAATCTGATGTTCTCAAGCAAACACCAACCAAAACTTCATCAAGATCTACATCATGAATTGGAAAAGGATATCAACTTGAGACATGAGAAAACCACAATAAATTTCAAATTTATCACAATTAACATAAAAGGAGGAACATGAACAGAAGCATTAAGGACTCAAGACACATAAGTTTTGTTTTGCTAGAACTGGGACGGAAATTAAGCAGTCAAAATTCTTAATATTAATGTGCAAGCCTGAGAAGGTTGCAGATTCCAAAAAACCAACTTGTCAACTTACAGGTTGAGAAAGTCAAATGCTCAGTCGGTTATGAGATGAAACTAAATTATCAAATCTGCATTTATAATTGATTGAAGCATTCATGTGATTGAAGGAATCAGATTGCCACAATATCCATATATGATGAAGTCCAAGCTAAACAAATTACATTAAAAGTATGATGATCATTTGAAACAGATAAAAGTAAGGAACATTTTCACCAACCGTAACATGTAGAATGAACAAAGAAAATGATTTTTGGTTCCAAAATTGAATTAAAAAGGGTTCTTAGCAGAAATGATGGAAACTCCACATCAGAAATAAAGTCAATAATATAGAGTCACTACAATACCAAGCAGCTAAAATAAAAAAACAGAGAAATATACTGAAAAAAAGCTACTAACTTATGTAAAACCAGCACAAAATTATATTGCAAGATAAATCATAATTGAAGGGCAAAATCATCCGTAGAAAGAAAAATCTGAAATACCCAGAAAGGGATTATGACCAAGGAGCCGGCTCAGATCAGAAAAATCGGATTGAGAATCCAATAATTAAAAGAAAATTGAATAAAGGAGAACAAATGGTGAGGACCAATGAAATGAATAGAATAAAGACTATAAGGAAAACATCAGATGTGAAAGTCTAAAAGGCTATCCGCACCCAAGGGCAGGAAAAGAAAGCGTTTGGTGCTATTGCAAGGGAAAGAAAACAACAGACTTTGAGTTTTTTTTTTTTTTTGTTGCTTTTTGAAAGTATGTCGGGTGAGTTAGGGTAGTGAGAGGGAAAACATAGAGGGAAGAGGAAACAATTCGATCAAACAGAGTAACAAGAGCAAACAGAGAGGTTGCGACCGTACCTTTAACGAAAGAGAGAAGATTGGGGTTTGCAGCTCAGGGGGGAGGGAAAGCTGCGGTGGAGTCTTCTACAGTGGGTTAACCGGTGACAATGAAAATGGGTAGAGCGGCAGTGGCTGATTAACCGGTGAAAACCAGAATGAAAATCGCTGACATAAAATGGCCTTTTTTTCCCTTTTTTTTTTTTTTTTGCAATTTGCTTAACTCAGCCACAACGCAAAAAGAAAGGGAAAAAAATTATTTAAGAAGTGTCAAAATGAGATAAATATTCATTTTTTTTAGGTCAATAAAGTCAACTTAAATATCTGGAAATTCTCAAATGCATCTACAATTTTATTTTATACACTTCAATTTAAAAAAAAAAATTTGTAAGTAAAATTATTAAAATATTTATCTCACAAAATTTATAATTTTTAAAAATTTATTTTCAAAAACTCGTAGCATATCTCAAAAATATATTTTTTAAAAATTATAATATTTTTTGAAAATATATTTTTGAGAACTCATAACACTTTTTGAAAATACATTTATGAGAGTGCAAAAATTGAAATTTTATGAAAAAAAAAATTATTCAAATTATTTATAAATAAGTATAATAAAAAATTATTATTAAAAAATCATAAATTTCAAAATTAATAAAATTTATTTTTAATATTTTCATATTAAAAAAATAACATCTTATGAGATCCTAATTAAATTAAAGATAAAATATTAAATATAATTTTTTTTATAAATTTAAAATTTATCATTTTTAATAAATATTTTTTATTGATTATTAAAATTTTATAATATTTTTAATTAAATTGAACTCATTACAAAAGTTTCTCCATTTACTTTTCACAATAAGTTTCTTCAATTAATATATTAGATTTTAACAAAATTATTTATTGTTCAATAGTATTATTTATATTATCTTTTTATTCATAAGCATGCACTGCTCATCTAAAAAATTTTCAACTTCAAGTTGATTCTAATTCTTCCAACACCATTTTCTATCATTTCTCAAATTCTAGCATGAGGTCAAGGACGTGATAATAGTGATTTAGTAGCATTTTAACAAATTTATGTAATATTTAGTAATATTATTTATATAATTTTAAAGAGTTATAACTTTTATATATTAATTAGATCTGATAATTTTTTATCACTTTTCGTAATATCAAGAAATAAAATATTTAATTATAACCTCATAAAATTTTACTTTTTTTCTAAAATTAAAATATTAAAAGTAATTTTTTTATTAATTTTAAAATTTATTATTTTTTAATAATAACTTTTTTTCATTACACTAATTTATAAATAATTTTAACAAAATTTTTTTTTTGTAAATTTTCATAAATTTTCACTACTCCACTCTCATAAATGCATTTTCGATAAGTTTTATAACTTTTCAAAAATGTATTTTTTAAAAGTGTCATGACTTTTCATATGGATATCTGAAAACTTGTAATAAAGGTATTTAACTAATTTCATTTATAAAAATTTTTTTAAAAAAATAAAAGTGGGATGTCTTTAGAAAAAATGTGGGGTGTATTTAGAAATCCCTTAAATATTAAATAGCAATACGATAAAATGAGTTCCAACAGTATCAACCAAGGTAAAGCCTAAAGGTAGTTTGGAAGGTTGATAATAATTACAAAATAAGGGTTTGAAACATTAAAGCTATCATTGAAAATATTACAGAAGTCCCCATTTGTAAAGGTGAATTTGTTACTTTTCATATGAGTGCATCAACACATTAGTTCCCTTCATGAAATATAGACCTTCTCTTGCAGTTAATTCAAAGGGTTAGTAGCAAGAGAATTGGAAATGAGACTAATAATAAAAGTAGCATATAACTTAATCTCTAGGCAATCAATTTGCTTGACAATTGCTAGTTATAGTCCATCCCTAAGGCCCAGAGTTTGACTTTCACACTAATTGCTCTTCTAATGTACCTATAAGAGCTTGCGATCCATTTACCATCATAGTCATAAATGATGGCTCTTGCCCTTGACATACCTAATGGTAGATTCATCTATAATAAACTTAAACCATTTTATATTTCAATAGGGTTTATTTAACAACAATGAAGGTATGGTAGTGGGTGGCACGATGAGTGATAGAAAGGAAATGTTTGTCCTATCTAAAAATAGTTGTATTTTTAAAAAGATAAAGTTTTGAGATGCACTAAATGAAAATAAGTTTTCATGGGATTCGATGGGCATAATAAGGGAGCTAGGAGGTCATATGGAGCTTAAGCAATTCAAATAAGGGAAGAAAAAAGGTATAGAGAAAAAATGAAAGGACTTGCACATCTTGCCAAAAGGGTTTAACCATGAGACAAAGTTTGAGGATATAATGCAAGTTTTGTTAACAGGGTGCCATTTGATGTGATGAAGTTTTTTGAAGCATTTTGTTACTTTTCAAAAGAAGTTCTTATTGATTTTATCAAGGTTTTTGCATATACTAGTAGGCAAGGTATGACATTGCATGTAGTAGGAAAGGATGGCAGCAATTATTATTTTAGCAAAAGTAAGTTAGCCTACTAGAGAGAATGTTGGCTTTTCATTATGCTAATTTTAATATGACTTTTTCAAGTATAAAAAGTAGTCTTTTAAAAATCTTTTGTAGCATTAATACAAAATGAGGTGGTGATTTAAGCACTTCAATCATTAACAATGTTAGGAGAGAATAAAATTTTTTATTCTTGATGATTAATGCTCTAGTCAAAATCAATACTAAAATTCGCTAAAACTGTTTTAATAGTGTTGGCCAATTTTTTATTAGCTTTAACAAACAGTAAATATCATGACAAAAAGAATGTGAGAGATTTTAGGCCCTGATTGAGATGATTTTACGAGAAATCAACATTTTTTTCTCAAACTTTATTTATCTTATGACTTAGAAATTTCATGTACAAGATAAGAAGTTAAGGAGAGAGAAGGTTCTTTTATCTAATTCTATGTATAAAGTAAAAACTTTTCAGTTTACCACAATTACCAAGGACAATCATGGAGGATGATGAAATATAAAATATTACTCATGATGAGAGAGATCCAATTTTTAATAAAGTTAATAAAAAAGATGACTTTCTTGATGAAGTTCCATTTTAGACAATCAAAAGCTTTCTTAAAGTCCAATTTGATAGCCATCCAATCATGTTTTTCTTTTGTTTTTTGCATGAAAAAAAAAGTTATTGTGCTATGACAACATTTTAACTGCCTGACAATTAAGGATAAAGCTAGTTTCAAAAGGGTAAATAAGTTTATCTAGAAAAAACCTTAGCCTCAACATAAAAATCTTAATAATAAACTTGTAGATCGTGTTACATAAGTTGATAGGCCGAAATTGGGTTATAGGAGTGGAGATTTGCATTTTGGAATCAATGTTATAAGTGTCGCATTGAGGTTTTCAAGTATTTTGGAGTCTTAAAATATTGCTTGAATAGCTAGACAATTTTTTTTATTAAATTCCAACATCGTTTATAAAAATGAAGGTGCAAACCTCGAAGCCTAAGGCCTTATAAGGTTTATTAGACTATAGAGCTTTTTAGATTTTAAGAAAAGTAATAGGTTGGATTAAGTTGACATGATCAGAGCTAGTAAGTTAGGCTCAAAAGAAAGGGTGGTGAATGAAAACTTTGGTACAATTAAAGTAAAAAAATATTTTAAATGGGAAAATATGAGAATAAATTCATTTCATTAGAAACCTAATTACCAGCATAATTATGTAGGCCTATGATCTTGTTGTAGTTTCTATGCACAAAGGTAATTCCATGAAAAAAAATCAAGTGTTACATTCTCATTCAAACAACTAATTCATTTTTAATTTAAGGGCTTATGGCTATTTCTCTTGTTTCAAGATTTGCTTGTGTCCTAGGGAGAAGAATTTTTGGAGTTCAAGTAAGAATGGATTGTAACAATGTGCTAAGGCTTTTTAGGCACCTGCAATTTTGACTATAATTTTTTTTTTTTTGTAAATATGAACAATTTCAAAGACTTATTTATACTAGAGTTCAAATTTTTTTGTCAAGGTGGAGAAAGTAAATGAAGTGGGATATTGATAGGGCTCCAAAAGAGGATACAACTAAAATCGAGGTGGTTGAACCACATAATTTGATATTTTAAGTGTTTGTTGCTAAATTCAATTTCTTAGGCTTTGAAATTTACATTTTAACCTTTGCATTGTTAATTGGATCTCAAAATTTGCTTGGGCTTTAGATTTGTTTACTTTTTTTAATCTTAATAAAGTTTAATTTGTTCATTTTTTATTCCTTTTTATTTTTTATTTTCTTATAGTATTTATTTTAATAAAAATAAATTTTGGAAAATGAAAAAAAGAAAAAACATAAAGATAATTGGATAAATAGAAAGATAAAAAATTAAAAATTTTTAGAAAATCTAAAAATAATATTTAGATTGAAATACCAATATTGAATCCCTTAAAAGATAATTTTTTTTAAAAATAATACAACAAGTTCCTATTAAATCGATACGTTGTATTGATTTAGACTCCTATTAAAATTGAGACTAACTCCCCATATAAGCACAATGAACCACAATAAGTATTAACAACAATTCATAAAATACCAAAAGTGATTAATCTTGCCAAAATATTCAAGATTTTAAATATTATTCTTACAAAAAAAAGAATTATTAAAAAGAATTATGAAATTATAGTTTTGAGAAATGATGAAATAATTTGGAAAAATATTAATCATGTGCACCATCATGTTCAAATTTGGTTTACAAATAATGCATTTATAGAGTTAAAATTTTGAATATTTTGATTATGAAATTCTTTAAAAGTTGCAAAATAGCAATTTTATGAAAATCTTTAGGTTAAGATTTTCTTTAAATTTTACCAAAATATTTAAGAATTTAGAAAATTTTATAATATTAAAGATTTTTGTTAAATGGTAAATTGCTTTTCAAATAAAGATGGAAATTTATATGAATAAATATGTTTTTAAAAATTTTTAATAAATTTGAAGTCGAAGCCTTTTCAAGAAAAACAATAATTTTTTTAAGTAGTTTCAAAATGAGAAAATATTCTTAAAATGTTAACAATATATTGAAATAATTTAAGAAAATTTCTAACAAATAAATTCATTAAAATATTATTAATATTTAAAGATATTTTTTAAAAAATTTTTAAAGGATAACACAAAATTAATCAGTACTGTCTTTTAAATAAGTATTGTGAGGGTGTTAATACTTTTCC